AGCCAAGTCACATCACTTCCTAGAAGCTATAGAGGGAGGGTTTTTCACACAGAGGGTCTGAGAGGTGACAAGGGGGGGAAACATCCTTGACTTGGTCTTGACCAATAGGGAGGAGCTGATAGATGAAGTACAGATTAGGGGAGCTCTGGATGCGAGTGATCACTCCATCCTTTGCTTTGAGATCAGGGGACTGGGGACGTGCAGCAGGTCGAGCACTAGAAGCTGGGACTTCAAGAGGGCCAACTTTGGCCAACTGAAGGCCAGACTGGGGAAAGTCTCCTGGGATAGGTTACTGGAAGGTAAGTGAGTTGAGGAGGGGTGGATAGCACTCAAAAGGGAGGTTTTGGAGGTGCAAGCCTTGATGATACCTCTAGTCAGTAAGGTGGGGAGGTGGAGGAGAGTGCTGCCATGGATGCGAAAGGAGGTGGTTAGAGGGATTAGACGAAAGAGGAACCTCCGTAGGAAATGGGTACTGGGGGAAATAGACAAAAGGGTATATCGGGAGGAGGAGGCCCGTTGCAGAAGGATTCTTCGTAAGGTTAAGGCTTATTACGAGCTGAGACTTGCCAAGAATATCAAGAGCAATAAAAAGGGCTTCTTTCAGCATGTAAATAGGAAGAGGAAGGGGAGACAAGTGGTGGGACCACTAAATAAGGAGGAAGGAGATCCAGTGACTGATATGAGGGAACAGGCACAGATGCTAAATGACTATTTTGCCTCTGTGTTCTCTCCAAAGCAGGATGGGGGATATCCGCATAGGAGATTAGATGAGGCTGGGGACTTAGGGGCACAGATTAGAGTCACCCCCCTTGAAGTCGAGGGGTTCCTCAGGGCATTGGACATTACCAAGGCGCCAGACCCTGATGGGTTACACCCGAGAGTACTTAGAGAGTTGGCAGGGGTTCTCTCACGCCCGCTGGCCTCCATTTTTAAGACCTTGTGGAGAACAGGTGAAGTTCCAGAGGACTGGAGGGTGGCATCAGTGGTCCCAATTTTCAAAAAGGGTAGTAGAAGGGACACGGGGAATTATAGTCCTGTTAGCCTTACATCCATTGTAGGAAAAACAATGGAAAGGCTCATAATAGAGAGAGATCTAGTGATGCTAGATAGGGAAGGGAGGCTGACAGCCACGCAACATGGCTTCCGCAAAAACAGGTCCTGCCAGACAAACCTTGTGGAATTCTATGACAAGGTTTCGAGATGGCTAGATGGAGGGGATGCAGTGGATGTGGTATACCTGGATTTCAGCAAGGCCTTTGACAAAGTGCACCATGATATCCTGGTGGAGTTTTGGGATACACCAAAGCACTGTCTGGTGGATTAGGGTATGGTTGACTGACCGAAAGCAGAAGGTAACCATTAGCGGGGAATCATCGGGATGGCGGCCAGTGACAAGCGGGGTCCCCCAGGGCTCTGTCCTGGGGTCGATCCTGTTTAATCTTTTCATTAATGACATGGAAGAAGGGGTGAACAGTATGCTGATCAAATTCGCAGACGACACTAAAACTGGAGCAGTGGCCACAACTGAGGAGCAGGTACTCCAGATCCAAAAGGATCTGGACAGACTAGGGAAGTGGGCAGGAGACAACAGGATGGCGTTCAATGTGGATAAGTGCAAGGTCTTGCACTTGGGGCATAGGAATAGCTGTCATAAGTACAGGTTAGGTGACAAGTGGCTGGAGAGCAGCACTTGTGAAAGGGACCTCGGGGTGCTGGTTGACTGCAGGCTAAACATGAGTCAGCAGTGTGATGCGGTGGTCAAGAGGGCGAATGCCACCCTTGGTTGCATAGCCAGAAGTGCGGCTTCTAGATCAAGAGGGGTATTACTGCCACTCTACACGACTCTGGTGCGCCCGCAACTGGAGTATTGTGCTCAGTTTTGGGCCCCTCATTACAGAAAGGATATAGCCAGGTTAGAGTCAGTGCAGCGTAGGGCCACAAGGTTGGTGGCCAGTTTGCAGGGGATGCCGTATGAGGCGAGACTGAGGGAACTGGGTCTCTTCAGCCTGGAGAAGAGGAGACTTAGAGAGGATATGTTGGCGACATACAGGTATGTGAGGGGATGTCACATGGAGATGGGTAGAGACCTGTTCTCCCCTGCAGAGGAAGGCAGGACACGCTCCAACGGAGCAAAGCTCAGGGAACCCAGGTTCCATTTGGATGCCAGGAAGCACTTCCTGACAGTCAGGACCCCGAGGGTGTGGAATGGGCTTCCACGGGAGGTCGTGGAGGCCCCATCGGTGAGGGTGTTCAAGGATAGCCTGGACGTCCACATGGTGGGCATGTTGTGAGCGGAGCCAGCTGGTGCCGGAGGTCAGACTACATGGCCCGAGAGGCCACTTCTGACTCGCTCTGTTTCTATGTTTCTAAAACCCATTGTAATATGGCTACAAGATTCTGGATGAACATCAGGAAACATTTCCTGGCTGCTTGAACAATATGACAATGGACTCAACTACCTAAGGAAATTGTGGGCTTTGCAACATTGGAGGCACTCAAGACGCGGCTGGACAAGCAGCTGAGAGGGATGGTTAACTTGGAGTCCTGCACTGGACCAATGGCCTTACTGGCCCCTTCCAGCCCTACTGCTCCAGGACTCTGTGATTCTCTGGCAGTCTCCACAGCATGAATAACAGCTTCAGTCCTGTCTCTGTCCAGGTAGTAGCACAGCTGATTTATCAGCCTAAGCTGCTAAAGGCATGCCAAGCCTGCTTTTGGTGACAACACTGGATCAAAGCACCAAAACTAAATGCCCAGTCCTCTCCAGAACAGGTAAACCGCATTTGGCCAGGGAGACAAATTACCCACAAACAGCACCCCTATTTTGTCTGGATTGGAGATAGCTTATTGGCCCCCATCCAATTCATTTCCTTGCTCAGGGTCCAGTCCAAGACATCCACTGCCTCACTGGGATGTGATGAAGAGGGAAGCTGGGTGTCACCTGCACACACCTGGAATACCTTTCCCAGCAGATGCTGAAAAGCAGCTCTGCTGGACGCTATAGCCAAACTGCCTTGGGGCTCAGCAAAAACTTCCCAGTTCCACCTGGGCTGTATTCACTGGCGCAAGAAGTAAGTTTAGACCCAGTAAGGCCATTGGGTCCAATTGCCTTGTCAGTGCAGGACTCCAGGGTCCCAACATTCCTGGACCAGTTGAAGTCCGAAACATCTGGAGGTCAATAATCTGAGGACGCCTGCTTTAAGGAACGAGTTCGGCACATGGGATCAAGAAGGGGTTTTCTTTCATCATTATTTCTAACTGGCCAGACCTGTTTGGTATTTATGCAGGTGCACCGCAGAGCATCCTCAGGGTAAATGGAGGCACCTGTATGGATCCTGTCTGTCTGCATTAGCCCTGATAAACAAAAGGTCACCCTCCAGGAGTGTCTAGGCAGGCTCACTTGGATGCCCACCCAGCTCGTTCCTCTCCGATCACTGCAGGCTAATGTCTCTGTGGCTAATCAGGCACGGCATCCTTTCAGCCCCCACTGATCAAGCACCCACCTCCGTGCTTAGGAGAATGTGTGGCAAAAATTGCTGAGGAGAAACCAAACAAATAGATATCAGAGTACTACTGGCTAACAGGTGGAAGCAACAGTAGGCGGGGACACACTGTGGGTGGAGGAATATGCAAAGAAAATACCTGTCACACTCTGCTGCAATCTTCTCCAACTAGGAGCCCTCCAGATGTGTTGGACTGCAACTCCCATAATCCCCAGCCAGCATGCCAATGATCCAGAATTCTGGAATGGGTCATTCCCACGTTTTGAGGGCTCCAGGTGGAGGAGGCTGCCTTGCTGTCTTGTGGGCTATAGAACCATCCACATGAACTTCGGGCTCGGAATTCCACAACTCTGCATGGCTTAGTGCAGGCAACTTGTGGCCCTCCTCATAGCAGGCGGGACTACAAATCTCATCTGCCCTCACCCCTGGCTATGAGCTAGTGGGACTGGCAGACCAAAACACATGGGGGGCCACAGGTTGCCCATCCCAGACTTAAGATGAGCTGCCTTATCTCGGCTCTTTGTTTGTGGAGTCCAATGTGGTAAACGCCAAAGGGCAGTGAATTTCTAGCAACATAAACTGAGATCTTCCGCATCACCTTCTATGTCCTTTTAACTTTCCAGAGAACCGACTGGGGAGTTCTGCATGTAATGGACATGCTGCATTACGGATGATCAGCCAAACCCCCCTCTGGCTCTCTAGTATGAAATGTGTTCAAAGTGGCTTTGTGTTCAAAATGACTTTCCCTCCCCTGCCATGAAGGACTCTTGGCAGAAGGTCTAGGCAGAAAGAAAGACCTAGAACTTGCCTGGCTGGAGCATGCTGGGAGTTGAAGGACATTTTTCTGTCAATACCTAGGATTGTGCCCTAAACAGCAAATTCCTGCTCTGGGCAGTAAAACTCGAAAGGGTGCAAGCAGTTTTTGAGGGTGGAATATTTTCACCTCACCCAGGTCTTTGCCCTTTCCAAATTGTTTATAATTTATTATGCTTATATCCCAGCTTTTTCCATTATAAGGAAACCAAGGTAACTTACATGGTCGTCCTGCTCTCCATTTTATCCTCATGACAACCCTGTGAGACAGGCTGGGCTGAGGATCAGTGACTGGCCCAAGATTACCAGCAAGCTGCATGGCAGAGTGTGGACTCGAACCTGGATCTCCTGCATCCCAGACCACCGTTCTAGCCACTGCCCCATGCTGGCATTATAATAACTCCAGGCCTCTCTTCTGCAACTCCTGCACAGCAGCAAGACACTTGAAATCCTACCTTTCTTCTGGACTACAGAGCAAGCTCCTGACAGACAGACAGAAAGACAGACAGACAAGCAAACACACCCTGTTTTGGGGCAGAAAACAAGGCATCCCAGCTTTTGCAAGTGGAATAAATGATGCAGGTTAGTGGGTGCCACTTTTATTTACACACGGCATTTGCGTTCTTAGTTCTTATTTCTGCACACCTTGAGAGAGCCTTCTCCTGACCTCAAGCCCCTGCTCACCTTTTGTGATTCATCAGCAGCTCTCTGTGAAGTTCTTGGTGGCTTTTGGAGGCTCTGACAGGATTGGTGAGCTTTTTCGGTCTGATGAGATCAGGGTTTCCATCAATGTAGTCTGGATGGGCCATGATATTCCCAATATCGGGCCGTTCTCTCTGAATTTCAGAATACATAGATGCTGAGAGAGAGGGAGAGATGTCTTTAGATCAAATGACAATGTTGAGCAAAAATGAGACATATCTTAAGTCTGTGGCCTTCTAACATTAGAATCACAATTACTGTTTAGCAATTTCTATCTTGGAGCAAAGGAAAGAACTTGTAGTGAAGTTTGCAAGGCACTCTGGTTTGCCTCTCTCTGTTCCTGGAGGACAAACTCTCTAACGCATCATGCTTTGATTTTGAAGAGGGGGGTTCTCTTGTACCTTGTACTCCCTCATGTCTTGACAGAACACGTGTGTGTGTGTGTGTGTGTGTGTGTGTGTGTGTGTGAGAAAGAGAGAGAGAGAGAGAGAGAGAGAGAGAGAGAGAGAGTGCGAGCGAGCGAGCGAGCGAGCGCGCATCCATCTAACACTCCTCAACATATGAATGATGTTTGTTTGAACACCCCTGGAGTGTTCATTCATTCATTCATTTATTTCATTTGCATCCTTACTGCTTTGCTCCTGCAAGGAACCCAAGGCAGCTGCCATGGTCATCCTCTTCTCCCTTTCATCCTCACAACAACCCTGCAGTCTCTCAGGTAGGTTAAGCTGAGAGTCCCTGCCTGGCCCGAAGTCACCCGGCAGGCATCACAGCTGCACAGAGGTTTGCCTTCAGCTCTCCCAAAGCCCAGTCCAGCGCTCTAACTGCTGTGCCACGCTACCTCTTTTAGCCCTCACTTACTTCAGCATCTCTCCTGAAACACGCTGTGAACTGATAGAGGCACCGTTTGCAGAAGGCGCTGCCCTCTTTTGAGAGCAAGGGCTGCTCCTGCTGAAATGCATCACAGCTCAAAAACGACGCAGCAGGCATTAACTAGGAGTTGGTTTACCCCTCATCACAGACAAGCTTCACTGACCAGCTCTTAGCTCTGGCTTTCCTGGCTGGCTTTGACATTCTGCTCAGCATGAAGATGAGCCTGACAGTGGTGGACTCAGTGGCCAGAGGATGCGTCTATCGTGTCCCACCAAAGGTTCCCCTTCCAGAAAATGGGGAGGGTATAATAAGTGAGCAGGAGGCCGGGAAGACAGGAGATTAAGTGCTGAGGATGTGCAACTGGTTAACAGATCTTGTGGTTTAATTTTGTTAATTTCTTAAAAATCTGGTTTTAAATTTGGCTTTTAACTTTTGCACTGTCACAGTTATGATGTTTTATTTTACCTGCATTTTATATTGCATTTTAATTGTATTTTATCTGTTGCTGTAATCCACCCAAATATCTATATAATATCCCAAATGGTTGCAATTAACTGTTAATACAACAGTATGCATAATAAACTACTGGAAATTTGGCTCTGTTTTTAGCTGTAAGATTTAACGGGCATCAGGAGCTGGCACAACTGCATTTAAATCACTGTAGATTCATCCTCAAATCTGGATCTATTTGAGATTAGATTTGAAATTGCTATTAGATTTGAAATCGCTCACTTTGGATCTTTGTGGATGTTAGAATAACAAAGAGGACATTATTTTTCAGGGGTGACCAGACTTGCTCAACAGAAGCGCCACATGCAGTAAATGCCCGATGTCTGAGAACCGTAAGAGGGGAGCTGCGGGGAGCGGCTGTGGGCGGCGAGTAGCAAGCGAGCGCCGAGCTGCCAAATAAACGCATGCTGCTCCCGAGCCTTAGTCTGGCCACCCCATCTTAAGTTCACAATGTAATTACTAAATGTTAGATATGTAAACTTGCAGATCTGTCCTAACCATATATACCTAATAGTAAATCACAAAGAACACCTGCCACGCCGCCGCCAGCCCACGCCGGCAGAAGACCTGTGGCGCACGGCCGGGCCCGGGGGCCAGCTGATGTCGCTTCCGCGGCCACCGCCGGTCCATCCTGGGGCCGGGGACGCTGGGCCACCACTGCGGCTGAGGAGGGCGCTGCCATCTTGCCGGCCAGCGAGTTCCCCGCATTCGTCCTTGCACCCCCCATGCCGCCGTCGGTGAGAGCAATACTGGATTGGGGGCGGGCGCCGGCTTAACTCGCCGGGCGCAGCCTGGGGCCGGCGGCCAAAGGGTGGTCGCCGCCATTTGTGGCCGTTCGTGGCCGTGCGGGGACTGGGCTGGTGAGGGACTCTTTCGGTGGGTGGAATTTTATATCGGTAGACTAGGGAGTTTTATATTGTTTTAATGTTTTATTGTATTTTAATTTGTTTTTATGGAGTCGTTCCTGGCCATGTCGACAGTTGGGTTACCTGGGGAGCACGTGGGTGCCGCCATTGGGGTGGTTGTGGGCAATGGACATTACAGCGGTGGGGGCTTAATGTGTCCGCATAGAAGAAGGAGGGAAAGATGGTTGACACCTGTCCCTCCTTCTGGTTTTACCCCCAGCCAGAGGGTTCCAGGTAGTCTTGTCAACCACCCCCTGGGCCTGTCGGTGCTGCTGCTTAATGCCAGATTGGTCCACAACAAATCGTCCCTCATTCACAACCTGATTGTGGATGAGGGGGCCGACCTGGCTTGCATAACAGAGACCTGGGTGAGGGATGTCACCCTCTCTCAAATGTGCCCGCCCAGAAATCTAGTTCAGCACCGTCCACGCCTGGAGGGGAGGGGGGGTTGCTTTGGTTTACCGAGCCTCCATCTCCCTCACAGGACTTCCGGTCCCTTCAAGGCCGGGGCTAGAGTGCCTCTACTTGGTGTTGGGCGACCGAGACAGATTGGGGATTCTGTTGGTGTTCCATGCACCCTTCTGCCTAACAGACTCCCTGCCTGAGCTGACGGAGATTGTCTCTGTGTTGAGGACTCCCAGGATGCTTGTCCTGGGGGACTTCAATCTCCACGCCGAGACTGGTCTGTCCAGGGCGGCTCAGGACTTCATGGCCTCCATGACGGCCATGGGGCTGTCTCAACATGTCACAGGCCCGACCCATGAACGTGGACACACTCTGGACCTGGTTTTCTCGACGGGGCTGGAAGAGGGTGGTCTGAGGGTGAGGAATTTGTGTCTAACACCCCTGTCATGGTCAGATCACTTCCTTGTGAGGTTTGTGCTCGAAGAGTGGCCTTTCCCTCTGTAAGGGTGCGGACCCAATTGTGTGGGTCTGCCCCTGGAGCCGGATGGATCCGGATGGATTCCTGAAGGCCCTGGGGAAGTTTCCTGTTGACAAGTCTGGTGCTCCTGTCGAGGCTCTGGTCAAACTATGGAATGGGGAAATGACCAGGGCTATTGACACGATTGCTCCCAAGCGTCCTCTCCCGCCAGGCAGAGCCCACTCTTCCCCTTGGTATACACCTGCATTGCGGGCGATGAAGCAGGCTGGGAGACGTCTAGAGCGTACATGGAGGAAATCACGGGATGAATCTGACCGAACACACTTAAGAGCCCATTATCGGGTCTATGCTGTGGCGGTGAGGGTGGTGAAAAAGAAATTCTTCTCCGTTTCCATTGCCTCCTCACTATGCCATCCAGCGGAGCTTTTTCAGGTGGTACAAGGGCTGATTCATCCTGGCCCTAAGAAAGATCCGGTACCACCCTCGACGGCCCGCTGTGACGACTTTGCCAAGCATTTTAAGGAGAAAATCGCTCAGATTCATCACGAGCTGGACTCCACTAGTGACCCAGAGGCTTCTGGGGAGATAACAATGTCGCCGTCTGGTCCGAAATTGATGGATGAGTTTCAGTTACTGCGGCCTGATGATGTGGACAAGGTGCTTGGACGAGTACGTCCCACCACTTGCCTATTGGACCCTTGCCCATCTTGGCTAATTAACAATGCCAAACACGAGACAGGGACCTGGATCTTGGAAGTGGTTAACGTCTCTCTGAGGGAGGGTCGGGTGCCTGTCCCTTTAAAGGCGGTGGTAGTCTGACCTGTCCTGAAGAAGGCGTCACTGGATCCAGAGATGGCCACTAATTATAGACCAGTGGCCAACATCCTGTTTTTGGGCAAGGTGTTGGGAGCGGGTGGTGGCAGGACAACTCCAAGCACTCTTGGATGAAACTGATTATCTGGACCCATTACAGTCTGGCTTCAGACCCGGGTACGGTACTGAATCTGCCTTGGTCACCCTGTGCAATGACCTGTGCAAGGAGAAAGACAGGGGGAGAGCATCCCTGTTGGTTCTCCTGGACCTCTCAGCGGATTTCGATACCATCGATCATGGTATCCTTCTGGCTAGGCTAGCGGTATTGGGGGTCGGAGGCACTGCTTTGCAGTGGTTCTGCTCCTATCTCAATGGCCGATTCCAGAAGGTGATGCTGGGGGACTATGGCTCTGCACCATGGCAGCTATGCCATGGAGTACCGCAGGGATCCATTTTGTCCCCTTTGCTATTTAACATCTACATGAAACCGCTGGGAGAGGTCATCAGGAGGTGTGGGCTGCGGAACCACCAGTACGCTGATGATACCCAGCTCTACCTCTTGTTTTCTACCGATCCAGGTGAGGCAGTGGCTGTGCTGAACCGGTGCCTGGCTGAGGTAATGGGCTGGATGAGGGCCAATAAACTGAAGCTCAATCCAGACAAGACGGAGGTCCTGTTGGTTGGCGGATCGGGCTTCGGGGAAGGGGACCTTGACCTAGTCCTGAATGGGGTTGCACTCCCTCTTGGGGACAAGGTCCGCAGCTTGGGAGTGCTCCTCGACTCAGAGCTTTCACTGGAAGCTCAGGTGACAGCGGTGGCGAGGAGCGCTTTCTTTCAGCTTTGGCTGATCCATCAGCTGCGTCCCTACCTGGAGAATGACTGCCTGGTGACAGTGACACACACACTGGTGACTTACCGACTTGACTTCTGCAACGCGCTCTACGTGGGGCTGCCCTTGAAGACGGTCCGGATACTTCAACTGGTTCAAAATAGAGCTGCCAGGCTGCTGACGGGGACTGGGCGTTATGTTCACATGACTCCAGTTCTCTGTCAGCTTCACTGGCTCCCCATTGAAGTCCAGGCCCAATTCAAGGTGTTGGTTATCACCTATAAAGCCCTTAACGGCTTGGGTCCTGGCTACCTGAAGGAGCACTTACATCCGTATGTGCCCTC